TTTCTACTCCCTTTACATTGTTAGGTCCTTTAATACACTAAGTACCCGAGTGATGCTGGTGGTGGTGTTGTCCCCATTTTACAGATGGGGACACTGAGCCACAGGAAACCGGGAGGGACTTGCGCAGGGCTATACAGAAGCCACAGGTTAGACGAACCCGTGCAGGCTGGCTTCCCAGCCCCTCTGCTAACTATAAAGTCCCAATTGCGGGAGCCCGTTAGGTCGAGTCAGGGAGTGAGGAACCATGCACGTGAGGGCCCAGAGTAGTCAGTAGAGAACATGTGTCTTCATGACTTCAAATAGTCGCAGATTTTACTTATAATTTAAGAATTCAGTGGGAATTACTCTGCCATTCGTTTCAACAAATGTTTATGGAGCATCTTTCACGGGCCAGCCTCGAACTGGACTCCGGAGCTACACCAGGAAATTAGCCAAAGTTCGTGCCTGCAGGAAGCTCCTGTGTAAGACAGATAAGCAATGAAATCAACAGTCCCAGGATCCCAGGAGGGTGCCCTGGGTGCCCTGGGTGCTTCTGTGCTTGTGCCCCGGGAGCGAGAGGGAGCGCTGGGGTCAGGGAAGGCTTCTGGGTGAGGTCATCCTTGCCTGAGTTTTGAGGAATGTAACATTAGCTCACCAGGCGGTGGGACTGGCTTTAGGGAAGGCATGGCGGTGCGAAGCAGCGTGACCACACACTGTCTCCAGGTGCGGAGTGAGAGGCGGTCAGAGGGAAGGCACAGGGCCCTGGCCCAGACCCCACCAGCAATGAATGGCTCCTTTACTCGGCAGTCCTAGACTGTGCAAGTATATATTAGCGTGAAGTTTATTATGATACGTTAAACAAAAATTTTAACTTCCACCGCTGAACGTTTTGTTGGTTTGTTTGTCTTTTAAAAAGAATTTATTGGGCCATTGCTAACAAGAAAAAGCAGGTTGTGGGCATGAAGTCTAAACCACCAGTAGCAGTGCCAGGTGGGAAAGACAACATGTCCGCAGCCCTGGAGTTGAGGACTTTTTTGTTGTTGTTAATCCTCATCCGAGGATATTTTTCCATTGATTTTTAGAGAGAGTGGAAGAGAAAGGGAAAGACAGAGAGAAATACATTGATTGGTTGCCTCCTGCATGCGCCCTGACCAGGGCCTGGGCCGGGGAGGAGCCTGCAACCTATGTACATGCCCTTGACCAGATTTGAACACGGGACCCTTTGGTCCACAGACTGACGCTCTATCCACTGAGCCAAACTGGCCAGGGCTGCTGACTTTTTTTAAAACATCAGGTGGCATCCGGCTGGCATGGCTTAGTGGTTAGTTGAGCGTGGACCTATGAACCAGGAGATCACAGTTCGATTCCCAGTCAGGGCATATGCCTGGGTAGTGGGCTTGATCACCAGCGTGGGATCTCCAGGGGGCAGCCGATCTATGATTCTCATCACTGATGTTTCTATCTTTCCCTCTCCCTTCCTCTCTGAAATCAATAAAAATATATTGAAAAAATAATAAATAAAGAAAAGTGTATTAAAAAATAGAATAAGACATCAGGCAGGGGGGAGAAAGGTGTAAGTTGTTTTGAAAGAATTCACATTGGCTACAGATAAGGTTGGTGGAATAAGGTGAAGTATGGGCAACAGTCTGAAAAGTTCATGTGTGAGCAAGAATGGAGGCTCCTGGGGTGGGTGCAGTGGTGCCTGGCAGAATTAGCCGCCTGGGAGTTAAAGACCAACATGCACTCGGGAAGATAAGCCGTCTTGTTGCTTTGCCCTGCAGTTGTTAACTGATCAACCCCTTCTTGTCTCTACCTTCCCCCATGTTGTAATTTAATTTAGGACAGCTCAGAATTTTCTCCTTATCAAATGGGAGGTGGCTGTGGTGTGTGTGTGGGGCGGGGGGGGGGGGGAAGGGAAGAATAAGAGTCTACATTTAGCCGCAGGCCTCCACCCATCTATCTGTCTGTCTTTCCATCTAATGGTATTTTCCTGTAGTGCCCTGACCCCAGGGTGGTTGCTTAAAGCAAAAGGTTTTATTTGAGGAAGGGAAGGGAGGGTAGAGAAGAATAAAATCAAGCACATTAAATGATGGGGCCCAGAGGAATCCATAGGCACTTAGGAACGAGTCTACATTTAGCCGCAGGCCTCCACCCATCTATCTGTCTGTCTTTCCATCTAATGGTATTTTCCTGTAGTGCCCTGACCCCAGGGTGGTTGCTTAAAGCAAAAGGTTTTATTTGAGGAAGGGAAGGGAGGGTAGAGAAGAATAAAATCAAGCACATTAAATGATGGGGCCCAGAGGAATCCATAGGCACTTAGGAACACTGAGAACATTAAACTTTTTACCTCGTTCCTGGGGTGCCTGGTAAGCATAAGATGTCACGCCTCTGACCGGACAAACCAGCCTCACACACTCTGGAACCAAAGCACAAGCCGTGTGTCAGCTGTCAGTGTTCCTGGGCCGGCTCCTCCCCAGGCAGTGGGTGTGTTCACTGCAGAGATCTTTGGCTGCTAATATGATGCTTCAATTTAATTTTCAAATAAGTGATATGTTTACTTGGTTCAAAAATCACAAAGTGTTAAAGGAAAAATCCCCCCTCTCGTTGCATCATTTTCTCTAACCCTCCCACCACTCATCACATAGTTTTTTGTGTCTTTTCCTAAGTTCTTTATGCATGAATAAGCCAGTGGGAACGTAACTTCTCTTTGCCCCACTTTCTACACACATTGTAGGACCTGACAGCCAGGGTTCCACACCTTGCTTTTTCCCGTCGGCCATTGTGTCCTGGAGCCTTTTCATGTCAGTTCATAGACGCCTTCCTTGTTCTTTTTAAGATTTACAGCCAGTTCCATTGATTGGCATGTGGCTTTCCCCGGTGGTTTGTTGTTGTGAACAACTGCAATTACATAACACTGTGCCTCTGTCACTGCCCATGTATGCACGTATGTCTGTAGGATACATTCCTAGATCAGGAATTGCTGGGTCAACCTGGACATTTTGACAGATAATGTCAAACTCCCCATCCCTAGGGGCTTTATCAGTATGCATGCTCACCACCTCGCCTGCTTCTCCTCAGCTTGGTCAGCTGCGTGGGCTCTGAGACTTCCGGGCTTGACGAGCTAATCGGTGAGAACGGGCATGCCCAGAGAGGAGAATGCTCATTTGCATCTCCTTCACAAGTGTGGCCGAATAAACGTTTAGGAGCCACTTGCATTCGCATTTTCAGATTGTCTTTCCCACCTAAAGTGAATTATCTTAAAAGCCCAAGCTCAGAGCTTCCCACCTGCATTTGCAATGTCTCTGGAATCTTTGAGAAAATATATACCTTTATTTTTAAAAATAGCTTTTGACATTCTTTGAAAATAAGAGGAGTGCCATCTACAAGCCACTGCTGGACAATATGAAAACACGACAGGTATTTTGAAATTAAGTTTTGACAAACAACAGAATCTAAAATCAGGTCCCCAAAAATTCACGACACTGTTTGAAGCAGCCTGGCTGAGTTTGGTAAAACAGACTCGTTAGAGTCTTTTGTAAATGTAATATTTGTTTTCCTGTAATAAATATTTTCCCCATGGGTCCCACTGTCTTCCCCAAACAGCACTATGCTCTTCTCGGGTCTTGAAAAGGGCGTCCAGAAGTCCACACGTGCTTGAGGCCAGCCCTCCCCGTGTCCCGAATGCTCCCGATAGCATGGGTCCCACTCCCTGACGGTCCCAGAGGACAACCGCTGGAGGAGTTTGGGAGCCAGGTCAGAGGCAGCGTGCTATTTCTTTCCCCACAGGCAGCAAACTGCCCAGAGAGGTACAGGTTGTGGAGGGCTCAGCTGTTGGCACACCTGGACTGCAAACAACCACCAGTTTGAGCAAATAGCTGGAGGTTGTTTTTGTTTTAATCCTAAAATGAATGTAAGAGTACGGCCCAGTGACTTCTGGGCCTTCGTAAACAGAAAATAATTGTTCCCGAACGGCTTGCTCCCTGGTGGTCCTCATCAGGGGTCCCCAGCGCCGTCCAGGGTGGGGTCCCCAGGTGACGAGGCCTCGCCCAGTGGCTGACAGCACCTGCGTTTCAGGATGCAGTCGAGGCTGTGGTGTCCCTGACAAGCACATCTGTTGTCTTCCCCACCCTTCCTCACCCAGCCCAGCCTGGGAATGAATCCACCTCGGAAACTGGCCCAGCTGGTGTGGCCTCTGATGAGTGGTTGGGTCATGAGGAGGAGGCCTTGGGCTGGGAGAGGTGGGAGCCCCAGGGGTTAATTTGCCCGCATAGTTCATAGCTGATTCAAGTCTCGGCCATTAGGCTTCTGCACTCCCCGTCTTCCTGTCCATCCTTGACAACCCAAGACTCCACATGCGGACCCTTCCTTGGGCCCGGGAGGCGTGGGGAGCCCTCCGGCTATGTGCACGGGCCGTTCTGCTGGCCTCGCCGCTGTCAGTAAACGCCTGTTTCCCAGCGTGGCCCCTGCTTCCAGGAAGACCCTCTGTTCCTTTCCCCAGAAACCCTGGGCCCCAGCCTCTGAGGTCAGCTACTTCCTCGGGGAGGTCACCTTCCAGGCTGGCGATTTGGGGGTCCGGCTGTGAGGGTCAGGGGTGGGCGCTGAGATTCTGGGGAGCACGCGTGCTTTGGGCCCCTTCTGTTTGTGAGAACAGACTAGAGACTCCTGGGTGGGAGTTCTGACCCGGCCGTGTCCTGCCATCGGGCCCCCATCCAGCAGAATTCCTTGTCCCCACGAGGGAGCCCCACCTGCTTCAGGTGGGTCACTGGCAGGTGAGAACACCTCAGGGCTGTCACCCCGCGGAGGGGCCGCACCCGTCTTCCCACCTGGCCCAGCCCCGGCCTGGAGGGAGGAGAGAGCATCTGCAGAGGCTCCTGGGGCTTGTTTCTGGGCAGAGGCTTCCATCGCACGCACGTGTGACCCTGACCCAGAACCTGCAGTTTCCGTTCTTGTTTCTGGGCAGAGGCTTCCATTGCACGTGTGACCCTGACCCAGAACCTGCAGTTTCCGTTTCAGTCTAGAGCTCAGGTGCTCAGCTCAGCTCTGGCCGAGATCACCAGCCCCGGCTTCCCCGTCATGCCCAACCCCGGCTGGGAGCAGGGAGCTGGAGGCCAGGTGATGCCACCACACCTCCAGTGAGCACCATCCTGACGCCTGGCTTCCCCGTCATGCCCAACCCAGGGTGGGAGCTGGAGGCCAGGCGATGCCACCACACCTCCAGTGAGCACCATCCTGACGCCCTCCCTCTGCTCCCGTCTCCCCTCTGCCCACCGCACCTCAGGGCCTGCGTCTGCCCTGGGGCCCCCTGCCCCGCCCAGGCCGCAGCCAGCCGGTGGGGAGGGGTGGATGGGGCAGCTTCCAGAGTCG